TACCGAATGGCGGATAAAAATTAACAATATATTGAAACATCCAAGGGACACTAACCCAAGACGATCTTTCCTTTGGGATCATTTTCATTAGTATATACCAAGGCCACCTACCTTGATAGATAAAATAGATAAAGAAATAAATAATAAAAAACATATATCACACAATCAGGAGTGAACTAAATGACCAAAGACCCTAAAATCCATTTCCAAAAACCCCCTATCGGCTACATACATTGATATATATATAGATAATATATTTTCATATTTTATCAAAGTATCCAACACCCAAAAAAAACCTATTTAAATTACGATCGAATGATGATCGTTTGTTCTAATTAGCACTTCCACAAATAAAAGGGTAAATAGATGGAAACACAAATTATTAATCCCCATCTTGGCATAATTGCCGAATGGCAGATAAAAATTATTAATATTTTAAAACATCCAAGGGACATTAACCCAAAACAATCTTTCCTTTAGGATCATTTTCCCCAATATATACCAAAACCACCTACCTTAATAGATAAGATAGATAAAGAAATAAAAAATAGAAAATATATATCACACAATCAAAGGTAGAACTAAATTTCCAAAGACCCTAGAATTTATTTCCAAAAACCCCCTATCAGCTACAAAACCTTTAATTATAAAATTTTATTATTTTATAAATATTTATATAAAGCTTACATCGCGTACGCATACGCAATTTCAGCCTACGCGAAAGGTTGCCTCCTACATACGCTTGGGTGGGAATAAATTGCCTCCTAAGGCCTACGAATATAAAATTTTATGCAAATTTTAATTATATATATAACCAACCTCATTTTTTTTCGTATAATTACATACCGTTTTACAAAGCTATTCATAATCCGATAATCATATTAAAAATAATAAGGAAAAGGTCCATATAATTATTTATTAATTAATATGGTGGAAAAATATATATATATGTATTAGATAATTATTTATTTCGCCAAAAATGTATCGAATACGTCGATCGCGTATTTTTTTCCAGTCCGCAGATAATTCAAATGAAGAGGAGGAAAAGGAATTTGAAAAAGAAGAAGGAGAAATAAAAGAAGAAAAAATAATTCCGCAGGTCGAAGGCGCTGGTTCTATCGTTGCTTCTTAGCAGCAGGGAAACAACATATAATATAATGTAATATGTTGTAGGGGCATGTTTGGGGGAATCCCGTCACCAAAATTTTCGCCTATGCGTTGCCTATTTTTCGCCTACGCGGCGACTCCGCGGTCGCCTTGCCTATACGCCAGCCTACGCCCCCCAGCAAGCTGCCTACATCCAACCATGTGCAGATCAACTCTCATATGTTTTTTTACTTGTAAAAAAAACTCTGCTCATATGTAGATATATATATATATACAATATATATTTGTATTATGTATAAATTCAATGTATTCAATTAAAATTTGGAATTTGAGATCAGAAATCATATGTTTTTTGCCCATCTAAAAGGTTTAGAGCTCTTGTTCGTCTTAATCAATTCCAAGTCATCCGAGTCGTCGTCTGGATCTTTCCTCTTCTTTCCTGCCAGCATGTCAGGATTATCCGTTGAAGGCGCGCATGGTTTGACCCTGTTATCTCAATTTCATTCACTGATGTTAGCGATGAATGACAATTCGTACTGGTGGGCTGATTAAAGCGGTTTGCCTCCAACCCTTTCAAAAGAATCCTACTAAAATGCGTTCCCCACACAAACAATCCAGAGGTTTTCTTCATCCAGGGTTGAAATCAAAAACTAAAGAGGCGAACAATGATGAACAGAGTCAATGAGTCAATGAGTCAAACCCAAACATTAAAAGTGTAAGATCGATTGATATTCAAAGATATTCTATATTCAACCCATGCCATTGCCAGGAACTCTTTCATTTCTATGGCAAGTCATGTAAGCCCAGTTGACAAAGATGGGGGTATCCCAAAACAGTTACTGTAAGTTTAAGCTTTTATAGACTTGGTCCCATTGAGGGGCCTCCATCTTAGTCAACTGGGGGTTTGAAAATCCTGAATTGAATTACTCCTTGGCAACAAATCTTTGTTGTCCTCTTACCGTTCCGCAAGGTAGAGTTATACCTTCAAGTAAATTGCTTCAAATATCTTCAAGTCATAAAACATCCCAATCTCAGGTAGAACGGTGCGAAGTACAATCTCAATCAAGTATAGAAATAGATGGTACTGGCGCGAGATTCATCGAAATTATAAGAACAACACTCCAACACAAATCAAAAAACATACTAAATGTTGGTTTATTACTCCCGGGGTTGGCATCTGATGGATTCTGATGATTAAATGATGTGAGGTCCCAATTCTTGATGGTTAAGCATAATCCATGGGTTTGACGCTATTTCTCCTATTGCATATCACAGCATCTATCTGATTACATGGTGCTTGATCCCCACTGTGGCTTTGGGAAATCCTCCAAAAAATGCTTACATCCAAATTTCTTCATGATCAAAACATCTTGAAACCATGGTGTAGTAAGGGATTTGCACATACTTGGGACCATCGAATTGGATTGAATTGGGGTGTTTAATGTTAGGGGGATGGGATTATTTGTGGTGCTAATGTAAACCCCGGATTAATAAACAATGGCTTATAAGGGGTACTCCCCAAATAGTGATAATCTGATACATGGTACCCTCCCAATTAACCAGCCTAGGGGTTGATTCAGGTTTGCCATTAAAGGCGTTTAATTAAAGGCAAAGAGGTTTCCTCCATGTTCCCAGTCCATCTGCGCACCTAACGCCATCACTTCCAGCGCTTCCAGGGCTTCGCCCGCCGTGGCCTCCGCCGCCAGCGACGTCACACCGGCGCTGGAAGCGCCGTCCACGGCGCGACGGGCGGCGGAGGCGCGCCGCTCCACGGCGGCAAACATGCGCTCGTCCACCTTGGGGCTCCCATTCTGAAGGACCCCGTGAGAAGGTTCACCAAGGAAATTGTGGGATTTAGATGGATTTATAGGTGATACAGCTGGTTCCTCCACAAATAAATTATACTTCATTTATAAACTCTATAATACTTTATAACTCCAGTAACTCCAATAACTGGGTTTTGTGGTATCTATATCTATATAATATAATATATATATATAAAGATCTATCTATATATATATGTTTATTTCATTGTTTATGCATACTTAAAATTATATTTATATTCATTATATTCTATACCCTCCAGTATATGAACATAGACCCTGGGCAGCCATTTATAACTGGAAACTGATCTTCCAACCCTCTATTTGGCGGATCTATGTTAATTTACTAGAGGTTTACAGGATGGTATACAATTTGTGACCGCAACACTCTTGATTTGTAATATGATTGGTATAAGTCAGCTGGTATAAGTCAACGGAGATTCCGTTGAAGATTTCGTGGCATTTTTTCTGGCAATCCATTTTGTCACACCTTTTTCCACACAAACATGATCGTGAAAAAATCGTTGAAGTTTCGTCAAAGATTTCGTTGCTTCAACTCCAGTTTGACGAAATTTCAACAAAAATTTGGACGAAAATTCGACGATTTTGTTTTGGCAAAAATTTGTGGCAAAACGAGGAAACATTTCGTCAAAACGCGAGAGGGGATATTTTGCCTTGTGGCAAAACGTTTTGCCACAAAAAAAAGTTTTACTTTCGTCAAAGATTTCGTTGCTTCAACTCGAGCTCCAAAGAAATTCTGACGAAAGAATCTGTGGCAAAATCTTGAGGCAAAATGTTTTGCCACAAAGCACCCGACGAAAGTCTAACGAAATTCTGACGAAAGGAAAATGAAGGAACCAACGAGAGAAATCTTTTTACCAGAACATATTACAAGTGCTAAGATATTATGGAGGGGTTCAAACACAATATATATATATATATTATAGTCAGCTGGGTCTAGAAACTTTTTACCGAGTGGGGTGCCAGCTTGCAGGGCCCCTAAAGAAAACCAACACTCAGCGATTTGTAGCTTGTCAATGAATTTTTTGTCCTTCATTTCCAGATGTAACGCATTTGAAACCCTGGGAGATCTTGGAGATGAGAAAACCATGAAACATGGGACAAATACGGAAATACACTCAAGATCATGGGAATATATTGGAGAAACATGTGAGAAACAAGGATGGATCACATCCTTGGGAAAAATTAATGGGAGTATAGCAAAACGTGGAAGATGTGGAAAAACATGCGAACACATTTTTAATAATTAGAAACACGTCGGAAACTTGGCACAACATGTGGAAAATGATAAAAACTATGGGAGAATAATTCATAATCGAAACAATGACGGAAAAACGTATTGTGGAAATTCGTGGAAACAAGTGAAAAAACGAGGGAAACAAACCAAACACATGGAGGATTACATGAAGATTGAGCTGCAATCAAACCTACTTGCAGGAAGTGCATCGTAATCATCATTGGTTTCACAAGGGAAAAATGTAGACATCCCACCTGCAATTTTGGGCTCAAAACAGCTTAGCTTAGCAAGGTGGCCGTGCAGCCATGAGGCACTCCCCGGAGCCACCAAATAGTGCACGTTCACCATATTCACCTGCGAAGCTCTGGGAAGAGTTGGGGACACCTGGGTTGTTTGGTTGCCCCCTTGTAAACTAACATGTATGTGGAAAACCCGCGATTTCTAGATCAGTTTCCTAGGGAAACCATCGGTTCTCCACATCTATGTCAGTTTAGCATCGGGTGAAAAAACATTACAGTAAGTCCATTAAATACCATTAAGCGTCTATATTTTAAATCCCCTTAAATCACCATCATGTTAATGGATGTTGATCATCCCCGGCTTTCCAGTTGAATCAACCTCGTCCCGCCTGGCCCAAGCGGTGCGCACGGTCCTGACCCCCAACCCCCCTTCCAACAATTTTTGGAAAAATCCTGGCAACATCTAGCAACCAATTCGAAGAGAGCTGGCATGGTCTAGTGGACAAGGCGCATCCTCATGCGTCAGGCCCGGGCGCAACACTAGGCGGATAGGCGGGCCACTACTCCACCCCTGCAGTTAAGGGGATGAGCTAGGGTGTGGTCCGTAAAACATTCACACTCACACGCAACCAATTCGATAACTATTTGGAGAAACAGATTGGAAAAAAACGTAACAAAACCATATAAAACCAATCAACCGTTATTCATTCAACCTATCTGCATTATAATACAAACTTTCCTGAAAGACTGGTCAGTCGACTGGGGGGGATCTCCTCGTACTCAAGCCATGGCAGTGGGAATCATTTATTATATTTTTTTGGTGGGAGAGGGGCGATTGAATGCGTCTACGGTTTTGGTTTCAAAAGCCGTATGTAGATAGAGAAAAGCAACAGTGAAGAGAAAAACACACACACATTACATTGTTGGAACATTTGGGTGCGTCTCAACATAGGTTGCCCTTTAAAGTCCACGGTTTATCTGAATCATATGTGTTCCGGTTTTTGACGGCCATTTGGGGGCATCCCCCATGTCCTCAGCTTGTAGCAGGACCCCTGGCACCCAGTAGAGCTCCTGGTGATGCCAAAACTCATTAACAAGAATCGCTCTAAGACTTCTTAAGATAAAACGCACAGCATACCTAGGTTGAATCGAAAGCACATGCAGACCACATGTCTAGCGAAAAGTAGGAACTGCAGCAGATGTCCATGCAAATTCCATACTTTCCCGCAAATTGTCCTTCAGATTTCCCCAGCGAACAGTGAGCTAGTCTCTTCACCACAACCTGCCACCCCCGGTCCGCGAAGACAACCACGGACGCTGAGTTCAGGGTCAGCCCCTGGAATTTTCCACGGCAAAGTGATGGCAACAAGAGCAGTGCCAAGGTGAGTCCTACAGGTACTACGTTAGGAGGAGCTAGTGGTGAATCACTGCGCGTTTTGTGTTCCGACTCCAGTGAAACCACCGGGATGCAACCGCATCTCGTCATCAATGGACTGATCGGAACATGTACAGGAAACCTTGTGTTTCTGCCACCAAAGTGTGAATGTGAGCGGTTTCCCAACCAATCAACATCAATCAACTAGGACCAGGAGACTTCAGAGAAGTATACAAAAGGTTGTGGGATCAGCATGAATCAGCTATCAGCCAAGGTGGTGAACATGTCGAGATGTTCATCCAGCCATTTTCTGGGTGCGTACCTTTGGCCCACATCCGAATAGGTACGGGCCGAAAAAAACAAAAGAAAAGCAAAAACACATATGGCGTGGATAGTCGTACGAGATCGTTCATCGTTGGACACCCAGATCATATCTTCTCCCCAGGGTTGGTAGTTCGAATGCTGGGCCCCGGGGTACTCCAGGGTAATTTCAACCCCTGGTCCCATATGCCCAAAACACCACTATTCCTCAGCAGGTAGTAAGTGGTTGATAATCCATGTGTAGCTGGCGGTTAGCCCCTGTATGACTGGGATATACTGGGTTGGCCTACAATATGTTTCTATATACATGGTATTATCACTGTGTATACATTCTCTTTTTCTCTTTTTCAATGGGTGGTATATATGATTGATTTGTATTGATTTGGTATTTAGTGGTATACATGTATGAGTTGATTTTTCCAATCTATACATCTTGTCCTTTTGCGGCTGGCGCAAACGCCCAATCCATCTCTGCCCCGCCTGAGAGCAAGCTGTCAAGCTCAGCAGCGCCACCTGGGCGCCCGCCCGATGTGCCAAAGAGAAATCACCCAGGTTCCAGCTGTTCGTAACTGGTAAATTCATTCGCTAACCTGATAGTTATCTGGCTGATGATAGTTATCATATGTTATCAAATATCTTGGCAATGTTTAATCATCAAATAATAAACCTGAAAAGTTCGGCTATAGGCTATATTGGGATAATTCATGATAATTCCCAGTATTAGCGACGTTCCCAGTGAGGGAGAACAGTGAGGTCGTTATAATTTACCCAGGAGTTGAGGATCTTCATTCAGAGAAACATGGCGCTGGCTTTTTTGGATCCATCCCTCAATTAAATGATGGGATGATGGAATGTCGTTGTGGGTGTTCGGGTCTGGGCATGTCTGGGCCAAAACCAGATTTAGAACTGGGATTTCATCAGCAAAAAAAAATGGACACCTTCCAGTTCCCACCGATTGTTTCATGCCTTTTTTCTAAATGTTTTATCAGCCGATGTTTCTGGGGATTAATGAGATCCACACTGGATTAGAGGCTTTGTTTGGTTCTTGGGATGATCAACTGATGTTATGCTAAGCACTGAGTAACACGACCGCCAGAGACAATGCTGGGATGATCCAAGTGAAGACAGGATGTGGAGTGATACCCCCGGGCAGTCTCTTTAACTTGGACGATCCCAGTAACACCAACTACCACCCAACATATATAAGTACCAGTAGTACCGCACAAGGCGGTGGCGGAAGTTTCAAAAATAGGAAACCTATAGGAGAGGTTGGTTGTTGTGAATCAGGGATGGCAGGGCGAAGCCACTGATTGACCGAAAAGTGGGAGTGGTTGCAATGGTTGCAGTGGTCACCTCACCCACAACTGCTGGATGTAGTGTGATGTACTGCAACTGTAGTTGTAGTTGTAGCGTAGTGGAGTTGTAGTTGTGGTGTAATGTAATTAGTATAGTGTAGTTGCAGTCATATAGTTGTAGCTGTAGTTGTTTTGTAGTTGCAGTTGTAGTTGTAGTAGTTGTAGTTGTAGTTGTAGTTGTTGTAGTTGTTGTAGTTGTTGTAGTTGTTGTAGTTGTTGTTGTTGTTGTGTGGTTGTAGTTGTTGTGTAGTGTAGTTGTAGTAGTAGTTGTTGTTGTAGTTGTTGTAGTTGCAGCTGTTGTTGTTGTTGCTGTTGTTGTTGTTGCTGTTGTTGTTGTTGTAGTTCTAGTTGTAGTTGTAGTTGTTGTAGTTGTAGTTGTTGTGGTTGGTGTTGTTGTTGTTGTTGCTGTTGCTGTTGTCGTCGAAGTTAGGGTAGTTAAGTTAGTGAAGTTAATTTAGTTAGTCAAGTTAGTTAAGTTAATTAGCGTCTACTTTTTCGACATCTTCACGTCAAAAAAGGCTCAAAACCCTCAGTTTTTTTACACTGTTGACTTCGAAGGTGCTTAGCGCCACAATGGCGTGCACTTTTTCGACACTTTTTCGACATCTGAACCTCCAAAAGTGGTCCGAACATGGTGTGTTTTGTGCATTTTGACTTGGAAATGTGCTTCGCGCCACAACGGCGTGCACTTTTTCGACATCGGAACTTCCAAAAGTGGTCCGACATTGGTGTGTTTTGTACATTTTGACTTCAAAATGTGCTTCGCGCCACAACGGCGTGCACTTTTTCGACATCTCAACTTCCAAAAGTGGTCCGCTCCTCTAGTGTTTTGTCCATTTTGACTTGGAAATGTGCTTCGCGCCACAACGGCGTGCACTTTTTCATGTCTCATCTGGCCAGCTGGCTCCGCACCCGCCGCTTTAGCGAGCCTACTTTTCGACCCTCCGGAGCCACAAATCATTGGAAAAACACAGTGAATCGCGACTTTCCTATCTTTTCGCGCATCTACCTCTTCTTTCTTCTGATCTTGTCTTTTCTGACTCTTCTCACCTCTGCTTTTCAACTGTCCATATTGTCGGAAGTTTAGCTTCTAAACTTCCTTCGATAAGTTTGAAAGCCGAGGATATACAAGTACAAATTGGATCAAAATATCAGCAGCATTATCATTGGCGCCATATGTCCATGATTCAAAGTCTTTTGAAAGGTGAACAAGCTCGGCTTGAGAGATAGAAAGCTGCCGCCTGCACGTCGTGGTTCTGTTGAAAGTCCTTCACGTACCTTCCATCAACTACTCACTTGGGCGAGTCAAGTGCTGCTTGTAGGGTCATATTGACATCGACACAGCCATAAATTGCTGGGAATGTGGCCTAGTTTGAACTGAAATTACAAGTTGTATACAACAATCGCAAGTCCTGTAAAATGAATCATAGCCGTATTTACAGCATGCATAGTCGTAACTAATCATTTGATTGTGTACATACCAGTATATATCAATCACACCTACCCATCCTTTGGTAATCAAATTACAGTCTAATTGAAAACCCTATAATTTAAATAGTGTTTTGATATATATATATATACATATTTCAACGGGAAAACCATCTAACCATATCTAAACATACCGGTAATGTATTTTGATCTCCCGGCGGCACTGGCTGCGCTGCTCCATGGCAGTGCTGCCATCGATGCGGATGTAGCGCACCGAGTCGCGCTGCAAGGTACCTGGCTGGATAGCCAATGGAAACTGAACACCCCCTGGCGGAGTATGTCAGCCTAAGGTAAAATGCATAGCAAATGCTGGTTTCCCGTAGAAGAATCAACAAATAGGGAGGATGAAGACCTACACTCATATCAATTCAGCAGTGGGCCCGTCCTACCCCAGTTGCCTGACATCATGGAGTCCGTCCCTGGTGTCGTGCCTTCCAACTCATCCAGCATGGCCAGGTGATGCGCGAAGACCAAGAAACGAACCTCACTTGAGGAACCCCAAATCCCTGGGACTTATGGATTTTCATCCACCGCAAGTCTGTGCGTTTCCGTCCATCCCAAAAATGGAAGTCATGCTAAACATCCCAAGTATGGTTGAACACAATACTTAAATAGCTGAAGCCCCAACCAGCCATTGCATTCTGCATCTATCATTCTGTACACAAAAACCATTGCTCTACACAAGCACTTTCCAATAACAACATGAAATGTGGAACAAAACACGTGTGAAAGCTGCCTGTCTTCCGAGCTAAAACTGACCAAGGTCTGTAGCTTGAGCTCCTGTGAGCAATCTGGGACCCAAACATCAGCAGAGATCAAGCAGTTCATATACTCGGCAACGGCCATCGATTTACTTTTGGATAGCCTGCCCGTTGCAAGATTCAATGGACAATTGTGGTTGATTGTTGTGAAACCTACAGATTGGGTGCTGCAAGGTTTCCTTTCAACAAATTCTGGGGAATGTAACATCCTTTCTTGGTCATTCGGCACATGTCCGCGTCCAAAAAACATGGAGCCCTAAAAGGGTACCACCGGTACCATCGCTCGGAAACACAGACCACCAAATCCCCAAAAAGTGACATAGAAACCCGTAGCCATATGATCTTCCAAAGGCTATGGTTGGGCTGAATGGTAAGTTCATTGGATGCCACTAGGTTATATAATACAATCAGTTTCATAAGATCTCCAAGTTTGGAAAGTCATGGCAGGTGCCTGTTTTGTGACTTCATGACACAGCAATCCGCGCTGCCAGGAAAATTGCAGTGTGTCACTGGACAACTTCAAGGGAAAACTTGCAAGGTGGTGACCCCCAGTTAAAAAGTTGGATCAACATAATTCCCATGAACTAGTGCGTTATATCATGTTATATCATGTTATATCATGTTATATCATATATCTCCCTAATCAACCCAAGCCAGTAGAGTTATAAACCAACAACTGCCTGGCACACTCTTCCTCCAAATCCTGGCAGCGGCTGAAGTCGTCTTCGGGCCCAATTGGGAAGTGGTCTACAACTGGGCGGCTATATCCTGTAGATATATGTAGATATATATATATATATGTGTGTGTAGATATATGTAGATATATGTAGATATATGATTAGTATTGATTAGTTGGGTTATGCTTTATGGATCTTTATGGCTATGGCATGGCTATGACTCACTTGCTAGTTGGGATGTAAATCGAATTGCTGTAGGCAAACGAACATGGCGACGAAATTCTAGCGAGTTCAAACATCATGTTTTGACAAAAGTATATAAATCCAATGTTGTTTCAAGGGTTCATCGATGTAAAAGAAATACCCTCCGGTAATTTAACAGTTTGCTATTGAAGATGGCTATAGAAATAGTGAGTTTTCCCATGAAAAATTGCGATTTTTGTTATTTAAACGTTTACCAGAGGGTAAATTGAGGGGATGTACGATTGCCATGCTTTCGGCACTCCCTTCGATCCACTGAACTTCATCAGGGTTTCACTGGGGCCCCACATTTCACTGACCCTCCTGGTGATTCTAAGCAAATATAGGAGAATGATATAGGAGAATGTAGGCACCACCAAGTCAATTTTGCAGTAACAGACCACTCTCCTTTTGGGCTTAGACCTGACATTTCCCAGATTTTGTCATGACATTTCTCATCTTGGATGCCCTGCACAGGCGTTTTGTTTTCCTCCGGTTTCGCCACTGATCTGGATGATTTCAATCATTCAAAGATTTGAAAAGTTTGATCGCAGCTTTCCCTCGTTATATCCGGATGACCCGGATACCACCATTGTTGTTGATGAACTCACTTTGATTGTTAAGTGCTAGACAAGTCTTCATTTTAGTGTTACTATATATCCCATTGAATCCTTTTTGATGGATGAATCCCAATTTTGTTGGTTAAATCCGTATTTTTGATGGTGAAATTGTCATGTTTGTTGTTTAAACCATTGTTTTTGCTGATTAATTACTTCCCAATCTTTGCTGGTTCAAGTCTAATTATGTGAAAATCCCGTTTTGGATGCTTAAATTCTCATTCCTTGGTGAAATCAAAATGAATATTTTTGACAGCTAAATCCCTATTTTGGATGGTTGCAGTAAGTAACCATCGGGATATATAAATCACCCCGGCCATCAACATATCACCAGCCTCTTTCGGATCTCCCAACGCATCCAATGCCATGTCCAGGCGCACGCGCTGCCGTCGCTTCGCCGGAAGCTGCTTCAGAGTGCTCTCCTGCACACGCCGTGGGGCACCAACGGTACGCCTGGAAGTTGAACCAACAAATGGAGGCTTTCTAAATGATAAGCAGTGAGATCATTGATGGCAATTCTAAATCAATAACTTGATGAATCATAAAACAGATATTCCCCATCAATGGGGGAATTCTAAATGCACAAGGCAGTAAGATTTTAATGATTCTAAATAAATACTGACATGAAAGATTCACGAAAGCAGCACAGAGAAAGCCAAAGAAACAAAGAACATGATTCTATGTGAGTCTAAATGAAATAAGCAGAATAGAGCGATAAGTGGTGGAACAATGCACTAATCTGGCTGAACTATAGTATAATATAACAAGTCACAAACCTGAAAATAACAAAGTTATATTTGTTTGGCCATTTGGGGATGATTCCCCGAATCCTAGTCATCATGCCAGTGACGTCACGACGTGAGGTCATTATTCATTATAATTCACCTAGAAGAATGGAAATTGAAGCATGATTTATCGTGATTTATCTATGACAAAATCGAATGACAAACAGTGGAGCGGTTGAAACATCCAAGTCCAAGCCATTGAATCCATTGACCAGTCCAAAAGTGACCGCAGAAACCATACAGTAAGGTCGTATCAATAGGGTTGTTGACCACAAATCTGATTGATCTGGGCAAATTGCGTTCCCAAATCAGAGTCATGAGCCAATTCTGGGATGATCCCCCGGAAGAACGACCCTGGATTCTCAAGGCCTCAATTTGTTGGTTTTCCACCGGTAACCAAACATGGTTTGCTGGAAAACCACCCCAATTAGTTCAACGATTCTCCCACTTTAATAGCATCTAGTTCGGGGATTTCATAGCCACGAAGCTGATGACACCGGAGGCTTCCTTGGTTCTGCGCAGCATCACCGCGCCCAACAGCAAATGCAGTTCATTGAGGCGTTGGTTGCGACATGAGCTGGCAGAGCTCGGAGCATAGCGCTGAGCAAACCTGAGATATTCCATGCCAGAGATGTCGGGGACGTCGTCGCAAAACCAAGGTGGGATCATAGAACAATAAAGTGCATAAAATCCTACACACACATATACTGTATATATATATATACGAATAGTTGGATAGATATAAATATATCATGAAATAAAAGCAAAATCAATTATCAATTATGGCATAGCTATGAATATCACAACATGAAGTTTCATGTGTTTTTCAATTTTCAATATCAGAACCAAACTTTCACACTCCCTTTCCTTGAGCAAGGCAATCTGGGGGCTACCCCTTGAAGGAAACAAACAAGAAACTCTGCAGGACTGCAGATGTCCAACAAGGCCTCCAGCAGAGGATAAGCATCCTGAGACAAGGCCAGGGGCACATCGTTCCAGGAAAACAAAAACAATATATAATTACAGTAGAATGCAATAGATTATTGTCCTATCTTCTTGCCACAAACAATGAACATTTTAGAAAAACATCATACAGTTTCCATTTACATCAATTTCCATTGCCAGGTTTTGTTACCAGATTGTGCAGACAGGGGAGTGACGATCCGACATCCTTTGGTCGGAATATCTGCTTCGCAGTCTTTTCCAGCCATCTTCAAAATTTCAATCATAATCATGTGGCTTTGTTCAAAAATTAGAGGGCCGCCCACATTGCCATTGCAATTACAGTATTTCAATGGTTCCCTGAATTTTCAGACAACCCCCTGAAACCTGTCCAAGCAGTCTTCCTGGGTGCCACCCAGGTTACATCCATTTCATTCTTAACGCTGCGCGCCTGAGTTCTGGCCACCAGGGGGGTGCCAGTGAGCAGCATTACCTTGGATGACTTCTTGGCCAAGGGCACGCAGGCTTTGGAGCGTTGCGAGTTGCCACGCAGCTGGTGGCATTCCTGGGACATTGGACCTGGTGGTGGGGGTCAGATCCTCTCCCGCCGTCCCATGCGGTAAATCAGAACTCACACCCATTCACCACAATTCTGCCACTTGGGGGCACGAACAAGTTAGATTTAAAAACTAAAGAAAAGTAAAAGTGCTTCCAGGATGGTGTGGATGATTTTTCCAACCATACTCCCAGGTTTGATACTTTTCTAAGGTGTAGCAAACGGTTCTCCACACTTGTAAATGTACTAGGCCTAAATGCCAAAAATGAAGCAACCAAAGACATCTCCCAATGTATCAGCAACACACGTTCCATGGAAATGCCTTTCTTGGTTCCGGCCCGCCACCAAGTTTCATCAAAAATCACCAAATCAAAGTCCTCCTCGGCGCGTTGAAACTTGGCATCCTGAGACGCTCCGAATGGTGAGCCGCTGGGAACATCCTCGTGGCTATGGGGATATCTGTTTTGAAACATGAAACCAACATCGATATCATAGATTCATGGAAATTAGTATAATTAAATATAATTAATGGAAATGAAAAATCAACAAACCAAATCTCCCTGGACTTCAGCGAAGCTCGGTGATGAGATTGTAGGAGACCACCACCATGCGCGCAGCGGGAGGAATGGAGTCCTCAACGGGGGATGCTTCCTCAATGGGGGATGCTTTGGTTATCATTGGATTTGATAAAAGAGACAATCTAGGAGAAAACCATGGATTTTGGACTAATTTGTTTTTTAATGTTGTATCCTGATTAGTGGCTAGGTTCGCTCTTGTGGCAAGAATTTTCCAAATTATTCTGAACCCATGTATTGTTTGGAAGGTTCACTATTGTGGCAAGAAATCTTGGGAGACGGTTTTTTGGGGGAAAAACAGCAGCATGTAATTACTGAGGCAGACTCTTTTTTTAAAAACGAAAAAGTTTTAATTGATTTCAAGTGTAGCCAATTGAAATCCTTACTTAAGTGCGGATATTTTTTCTGGGACACAACTTTTTGGCACCCAACTTTAAAGAGGGTATATGGTAAGGACTTGGTAGGGGTGTTCCAAGAATAAGGTATGGATTATGGGCTGTTCATGGGGATGTGAGGCGGATATGAATCTTCGCAAATAAGACCATTCGACAATACGTTAGCGTCATTGAAATGTTCCAATCATGGGCCCAGCAACATGCTACCAACAACATGAAAGGATTTGAAGTCATATCTCTATATATATAATATGTGATATAGATATACGTGTGTGTGTATATACATATATATATATGTGAACCCACCAGTCAAACAACTACCCACGTGCCTGGATTGGGTTTGTAGGGTTCGCCCCGTTCGTAAATATTAGGATAATTATGGATAATTAGGGACCAAGCTTGTTTCAGGGTCCTCTAGTCTTTCTTATTTGAACCGTGGTTTCTGCTCCAAATCTTTCTCGAGATGTTTGAGGGGACCGAACCTTTTCAGATGCTATTTGTCGGATGATGTGCATGGTATAAGTTTCATTCCTCCAAGGTGGCGTAAACATGCTTCAAACTACCAATAACAGTACCCGCCAGAAATCTTGGGAGGATTCTGCTTGAAAGCCTGAAACTCATCCTCCCAACACCTAACTCCCATCAATGGGAGAGGTTCTGGTGGGATTTCGAGTTTGCTTAGGCCATATTCAGCCTCGAAACTGGGATATACACAAAATACGATTTAAACAAACAAATCCCTGAAAATGCAAATTCCAGCATCTGTTTCTTACATATTAAACACTAAATTGAATCCTACATCACCCCTTTCAAATCAGATTGACAAAAATCAGTTCCACTTTGGTGGCCTTGGGGTCACCAAAACTTTTTTCACATGGCGTTTCGGACCTTACCAGAGCGGATGACCACGATCTCAGAGGCTGACAAGTCGTTGGGAAGCCAAAGCAGGGCATGTTCCTAGCCATGGTCGCCGTGGATATCCATCGTCCCCCGTGGACCTTGCTTTTCACACCAATGTAAATTGCATATAAATGACTTTATACATGATAAATGATCATGGAAGGACATAAAAACAATACATATGTATATATATATATTATAAATTATTAATAGTATAAATTATTAAATGACTATAAAATATGGGTTCATCCCACCCAAACATGAGTGGAAAACTCACAGGTATTGAGCCATAACTTAACAGTATGATTTGCCAGCCTTTTTGTGCTATTGGTCATTGGTCTTAAACTCAGAACGGCTGATGTCACTCCACCTTTGGCATCCCACTTCTTGGACCAGAAAAAGTCGACCTTGAATTTACGGCCAAAAAGAAGGGGCAATATAGGTTTCATAGAATGGAGCTGGCGCAAAACCACTAGTTTCCCATCAGAAAAACAACCCCCCCATATAGAGCCCCTCGGATCATTTCTTGGCCCGCTGAGGGGCCTGCCAAAGCTTGCACAAAGGGGCCGGCGCGACCACCAGAAAGGGCCAGGAACTTTTGAAATGCCTGGCCAACCTTGGACTCCACTGGACGTGCGTCGCATGGGTCGCCACTAGCCACTAGCCAGGCCCTTTCCAAGTAACAACCCCATTGACACAGCATGGTATTCGTTGCTGGGATCATGAGAGATTAGTTTCTATTTGAACTATCTTGAACTCATGAATGATAATGGTTTTATATATGCCATTGACCCAGCCCCAATGGTCCGAATCAATTGGTGGAACCTGAAAAGGTTCCATACAGCGCGAGTTTTCTGAAAACACTGAATTATCATACGCCCAGTGGGCTTAGTAGTCTACCTTAAACGGTTTTATAAAGATTTTCCTACCAAGGCTATAAACTTAGGTAAATCCAACATCTTTAAACTACAAATCATGTGAGTAACAGCATGAATAAGGAGAAATAGTGTGGCAAATAAGTGGCAATCCTACTAGTAAACCATGCGCAGTTTACATCATTTTACCATGTGGGACTGTACTCAAAGCCATACCCCACCGGGGGCATATACATACATATTTGTGGGAACATCGTCAACAAGACAATGTGACTTACCCTCTGGTAATCCAACGTGGCATATGGCAAATCCTCTGCAAATGAAATTTTATATTGTTTCCGTGGGAAAGTCATCTAATTATAAAATATTATAAATGGTGGATTTCCCATTGCTATGCTTGACTGCCAGAGGGTACTTCAAGTGTTTGATACTTTGATAATTTTTGAAATGTCTCGAAAACTTACGGTTAAACAAAAACTAACCAGTTAGGAGTTGATTGCTGATGTTTTCCCCCGTTTTTCTGGAGGCTTATCATGTTCCAGGATCCCCCAAAGCTCAAGTGACACCAGTGTGGTGACGGTCTTCCCCAGGCCCATTTCGTCACACAAGAGCAGCCTGCGAAGCGCCAAGGCGCCATCCCACAGTTACCATTAACACCCATTAACAAGATGCAGCCCACGAACCCGAATGCAGTCACGTAGAACACTTTTGCCAAACTTGAATAGCCTTGTACATGTTTCCCTTGTTACCGTACCAGCGCGCTGTGGACTGTGGAATGTGGTGGAGTGCAAAGTGCTGAGCGTGAAGAAAGTGGAGTGCTGAGTGGGGAAGGTAGTGTGTAGAGTGTGAAGTGGGCATTGTGGAGTGTAAAGTGTAAAGTGTGAAGTGAAAAGTGAGAAGTGTAGAGTGCGGAGCGTAAAGTGTGGAGTGTGGAGTGTAAAGTGTGGAGTGTAGAGTGCGGGGTGTAAAGTGTGGAGTGTAAAGCGTAAAGTCTGTGTAAAGTGTGGAGTGTAGAGTGTAAAGTGTAAAGTGTAGAGTGCAAAGTGCAGAGTGTAAAGTGTAGGCTTTGGAGATCTTTGGAGTGTGAAGTGTAGTGCGGAGTGTGTAGTGTCGAGTGTGGAGTGTAGAGTTTGGAGTGTAAAGTGTAAAGTGTAAAGTGTAAAGAGTGGAGTGCGAGTGAAAAGTGTAAAGTGTAAAGTGTAGAGTCTAGAGTGAGGAGTGTCAAGTGTCAAGTGTCAAGTGTAGAGTTTTGAGTGTGAAGTGTGGGGTGTAAAGTGTGGAGTGTAAAGTGTAGAGAGTAGAGTGGGGAGTGTAAAGCGTAGGGTGCAAAGTCTAGAGTGTGAAGTGTGGAGTGTAAAGTGTAGAGTGTGGAGTGTAGAATGTGGAGTGTAAAGTGTAGAGTGTGGAGAATGGAGTGTAAATTGTAAAGTGCAGACTGTCCGAAACAATGCGCCTAGATATGCACCAAACATTTCCAATGCCACGCAAAATGACATTCTCACGATGTCTTATACGCCTGCCATGCAGTTTGCATGTTGTCACCACTTGACGCTGACAATGCAGTTCGCAAAAAACACGCGACACGACACGTCTGAAGTGCTGCGCCTGCCACGCAAAATGAAGATGGACACGTTCAAAGTGCTGCGCTGGCCAGGAAAAATGCAGGCCATCTTCTGATAACCTTGCAAAAGTATTGCGCCTGCCACACAAAACGGCTTTCGACACGTCATGAATAAACATGTTGGAATGTCACAAAATGCTACGCCTGCGCCTGCTACGCGAAACGAGGCTACGCGACGTTTTCCTCCAAAAGTGACCATAGGCACGGTCATATGGTCCTCACACGGACGGTTGCGAAGGTGCGGACGGTTGTGGAGGCAAAGGCAACGTCGAGCGAACACACCGCCAACGCCCAGACCCCCAGAGTGAAACCGGAACCTGAGGAAAACAAACATGACTACCATTACCATCAAAGTCCCATGATTATCCACATTTTCAAAAGAACATCACGGTGGATTTTATCAAGTTTGATCCAGGTTGCCATTGCAATTTTGGGGTTATTTCGCCCATTTGGGAGAAGCTCATGAAAAAATGACATTATGTTTGGGATGTTCACCCTTCTTCTCTCACAATCATTCAGGCACATCCAACTGACCCTTGGGTTTTCTGCCGGCTCGAACAGGTGGAGGACCATCCAGTCAAGGCTGCCCCGAACCCCGCTGTGATGGCCCCCTACCAGATGTACACAGTGTCCTGACGCCATCCACCCAGAGTTTGGACACCATCTACCATCTACCAGCTAAATGAAATTCTGTAAATCAAACCAACATAAACAAACTACAGTCAGCATGGATATTGAAAATCTTTGTGATTGAAGGCTTCCGATTCGCATCTTTGGAGGCAGTCAACCGATTTTGATCGATCTGCCCCAGCAAATACGGATGCCTGGGTCGATGTGAAAATTCCAGCAACTGGGGACCCTAAACTTCAGGAACTCTCATTGTGTCGTCGCGAGTTCAAAAAGTGAAACAAAAAGTCAGCTCATTATCCTATCTCATCTTAACTTAGAATTTATATACTTTCCCAAGGTGCAGGTTACATGCTTTCAATCGTTCTGCTTGTTGATCCCATTTAATGTGTGGACCCTGATGAAAACCTTAATTATGTAAAACCGCACATAAAAAACCTCTTGCTAAAACTCTGATACCTAATTACAGTAAATTACAGTAGTCAATCTGGGTTGGTATGCCTTTGGCTGGAAAACAACACAATCACCAAGCAGTTTTGGATGCCCCAAAAAGCTCAGGCTACTCATTGATCCAGCCGCCCAGGAGCCACAAACGATACGAACCAATGGTGCCTGCGAGCTCCAGAAAACATGGGATATGTATATATATACCCATCTCTGGCTTTGTCGAAAAATGTCATAAAGAAAATGATTCATCAACCATGGGATCTTCTGAGGTTTTGCATTTTTAGATCCACTCCTTTGGCAATCAACCATGGCAATGGAAAATCACCATTTATTCATGGGGAAGCAATGCGAATCATCTATGGTCAGATTACCTGTGGGTGCGCGAGACCCCCCGAAAAACTTGGAACTGGTCAGGGTGCTGATGGAAAGACCCCCCAATTTCCCAGGAGGTACTGTATTCTTCTATTCGAACGCTGGTGGTTGGGCTTAGTCTGCGATAGCTGGATGATACCAGACAGCTGATCTGGATGTTGCTGAAAACCATCATCTTGGCTTGGCTAAATCGCCATCTTTGCAAGTTAATTCCACGTGTGAACCAACATTCAGGTCACATGATGTGAAGCCAATCCCGGGACACTTGACCAGTTGCATCCGGCTTCCTCCAGCTTCTTCTGTACCGCTGCCTCGCGTGACGACAGATCCCTCAAAAAAAATCGAAATCGTAATGGAACCACTTGTGAAAATATTGAATATGCAGAACGCTAACAAATTATTGGAATGCACTAATGGCGCACAGGTTTAAGTATATAGTTTGTGTTTGTATGCATGTCGTAAAATGCACACTGGACATTCCATACAACAATCAAACAGTCCGAAATATGGATGTGTGATGCGTCTGCGGTCTTGTCACGCCCAGGAGCCACCATGAACCACCTAAATACCAGTATCTTATCCCATGTTGCTCCACGACTCATGCAAAAGCAAAGTTGGGCCGTGCTGCGTTGAGAATCAGCATCCTGTATCATAGAAGCCTCTCATGTGTGGTTTAAACATGTACATATCACATCTACAGTACATAACGAGAAATGCGTGTGTGTATGTACGGGTGTATGTATGGGTGTATGTATGTGTATGTTATGTTATGTTATGTTATGTTTGTATGTATGTATGTGTGTGAGTGTGTATCTTACATGTGACATTGAAATACACACACACATGTAAAGATATAAAACACACACAAATGTACATATCAATATCATTCAATAAAGGAAATAGTTCATTCATACCAAAAGGTTTTTGCATCATAGAAGCCCCTTATTTGTGGGTTAAACATGCACATATCACATCTACAGAACATTATAAATATGTATGTTTGTATGCATGCATGTAGTAGTGTATGTTTTTATGTATGTATGTATGCATGTATGGGTGGATGAATGGATGTAATGTATGTAATGTATGTAATGTATGTAGTGTATGTAATGTATGTAATGTATGTAATGTATGTGATGTATGTAATGTATGTAATGTATGTAATGTATGTTATGTTATGTTAAGTTCTGTATGTATGCATGCATGCATGCATGCATGCATGCATGTGTGTGTATGTGTATGTGTATGTGTATGTGTATGTGTGTATGTATGTATGTAAGTATGTAAGTATGTAAGTAAGTAAGCATGTATGTATGTATGTAAATGTAAAAGTATATGTACATGTACATGTATGTGTATGTGTATGTGTATCTGTATGTGTATGTATATGTATGCATGCACGCATGCATGCATGTGCGTATGTATGTATGTATGTATGCATGTATGCATGTATTAATGTCATGTAATGTAATGTAATGTAATGTAATGTAAATGTAAATGTAAATGTAAATGTAATGTAATGTATGTATGCATGTATGCATGTATGCATGCATGCATGCATGTATGTGTTTGTATGTATGTATGCATGCATGCATGTATGTGTGTATGTGTGTATGTGTGTATGTGAGTATGTAACAATGTATACTGCATGTGAAACTGAAATACACACACATGTAAAGATATATAACACACGCAAATATACATATCAATGTCATTCAATATAGCAAAATGATTCATTCATATCCAGTCTATATCAGGGCTTTTTGCGGCTAAGAACAAGGCATTGTTTGAAAGCTGCCTCCACAAGCCTGACCTCATCCCTGCCTCCAGGCTTGAGTTGGGCATCTGCCAGTCCACAGGCAGGGTCTGGCGCGGCTTCAACATCCAACCAGCCACTTGGGTACTGTATATCTGGTGATCTAACAGGGGTATGATGGAGGTAATATGTTGGGATATTCACTGGGACATGCAGTGATTTCTTAAAATGGCGGCTGGTGAAATGGGGCACCCCGATTTTCAGAAACACCCATGTCAATGGAGTGGATGATGGGAAAATTATGGAAAATCTACCGGAAGGGCTTCCTGTTGTTATTCCACCAAAACAGTAAGAAATATAGAAGTATATCTAACACATTGAATCATTGGGGGTTCGACCAAGAATCATGATGCGGATTCCAGTCAATGTCAACCAACAGTCGTGGCTCATCTTAGATGCCTGCTTAATGTCCTTTCATATCCTTTAGACAGTCAGTTGTTCCTGGCATATGCTCTTTGTTCTCCATGCGCGGCTAAGGGTAAATCCATGAGTCAACCAAACGAAGGACTCGCTCACCCTAGGATTTCAAGGCACCAACACAGGGGTCTGTGACAAAGCCATAAAAAGGTAGCCAAACGATATCATCAAGACCTGGACTTTTATTGACCTGCTCAAAGTCTGTCAACAACTGTTGGTGTTTAAAGTGAGATATGTGGTGCATCTGATTTTGCCGAAATAGAAGTGGCTTTCCTAATTAATTACAACACATTCGGTATAGGAAAATCCATCATCTATAGAAAATCATTTCGATAAACTCGTGCGGAAACCATGGAAACCGTCTATAAATTTATGGGCACTTGTCATCCATCTTTCATAGCTATGTTCAATCACCAGAGGATACATTGGACATCATTTTCCAACCCTATGATGCTGTGGATGCTTGCGAAATCCTGCACCAGTTGGTAGCTGGTTTATCCCGTTGTACTCCCGTTATTTACAGTGTTTCAGTGTCACCAATACTTACCCTCTTCTAAGCTAACATAGATGTGGAAAATACCAACCGTTTGTATCCATGTGTAAATGCTTTTCCCAAGAAGTTTCCCGTCTTTTTCCACATCCCTGTAGAAGCTTACCCCAGGGCACCAACTGCTGCAGGATTTCGCAACCATCCCTATGACATGGCTCCTGCGGCCCGCGTCCTCGCCCTGCTGACGTCTCCACTGCTGCCATTGTCGCCGCCCCTCGGCGGCTGCTGAGAGGAAGCCCTGCTTCAGCGCCGCCACGCTGCCGTTGCGCAAAAGCTCCTGGCCACCATGACCCGGGAATACTTTAACCATCAAAAATTGAAGAAGCAATGGATGAAAATGGTAGTTGAACCATCAAAGCATGGGTTTCACCACTGAATATGGTGGTTTAATAGTGATGTGGGTTGTAATGGGATGTTACATTCCCCAACCAACAATTCGACCATGAGAATCAGAACTCTTTAGAGGAAAGTCGTCTTCCAATCCCCTATTTGATAAGGTCTAAGTTAGTTGGGGAGATGGTAGAAGATATCCTTTCCGACATTCAGAAAAGGGGCAATCGCCAGGGCCGAAGTGTTAGTTGGATGGTGACATGTGACTATTGTTTTTTGTTTATGTAAAAATATGGGGCTGTATAGGCGGTATATTGCAATTCTTGTGGAACAAATGTTGGGATATGTTGACATGATAAAGGGAATATAAAGGGAAAATAGGAACATGACAACTCTTTTAGGAACAACATGTAATGATCAACGGCAATGCCTTCGGATATTGCCGCATGTTGAACATGTCGCAAGTTTTAAGCCGCACATTTTAGTTCAAAAAATATCACTTCAAGATCGGCTGAAAACTTATCAAACGTATCCAAGCGCCAATTTGAGTCAATATCGTTTACCCTCTGGTAATCTAACACAACACGCACATGCCATGGAAAACAACCCTTTTACATGTGTGTATATGTAATTATATACACATACACTATTATACACTCTCCGGTAATCAAACGCGTCTTTCTGGAAAAACCCTCATTTCCATTAGATTTCCCAAACACCAACTTCCAAAAATATGGGATTTCCGCTGGAATACCCATTTTCCAATCGATTTCTCAATAAATCCTCCATAATGCCCAGAAATTCCCAGCCTGCGGCAGCGATGGAAAGCGATGCGCCAGGAAGTCGTGGATCAAGGCCTTGGCTCCAGCCGGAAAGTTTGAAGATACCGAAAGCACACCTGGCGATGATGGGGAGGTGATGAGGAAATGATGGGAAGACATCATCAAACTACCACCTACCAGCTCATGGTTGCATATGTTTCGGCCTTGTTTCAAGAAAACAAATTCTTGGGTGGCGCAAGTGACAATGGAAAATCTGGTGGGTATGGTTCAAAATGGACACTTGGATACTGTGCTTAGGTGGAACATGGCGGAATGATGGTGGATGGTATCCAATATTTGAACACCACAAAGTCATGAAGTTGACGCACTTGATATACATGCCTAGTTGGAGCACGACCCCGCCCATCACACTTGGATGTATGCTTTTACATGATCTTACATACTTACCTTTCCTGTAGCTACACGTGGGATATGTAAGCCCATGAGTGAGCAAACCATGATTCCCCTTTCATTATCTATCATCATCTATCATCCTTCTATCCTTCTATCCTTCTATCTGTCTGTCTGTCTGTCTGTCTGTCTGTCTATTTATCTATCTATATATCTCAAATTTTCCCAATGATTCCCAGACTCTGAGGCACATTCTAACCTCCCCACCCTCTCCACCCTTCCTATCCACCGCGCCGAAGCCACCCGGTGCCAAGTCACCGGGCGATACGGCAAGGACGCCCAGTGCAGCACCAAGGGCAAAAGCCCGCAGGCGCCGCCAAAGCCCGGCGCCGCCGGCATCCAGCGGTCCACAAAGCTGGGGGGATGCAGGGAGATGGGGAAATTTTGGCAGTTGAAATGGGCCGATTAAAAAAGGGTGAAGAATGATGAAAATCAAGGCAAATCATCTCTAAATGGATTCTAAATCGGGCTTGCAACAACAAAAAATTAGAAACCCAATGGCGGATTTAATGAGTTACCTTCGATCTACGGCCATGTGTGATGGGAAAACCATGTAGACATGGCATGTTACATGGGGAGCTAACCAACAAAGTTACATTTATAAGCGAGGGTTGGGGATGGGCTTGGAAAAAATTGTCCCTGAAAATGTGGAACAGGTGGGATATAACCAACCACATGGCAATTTTGCAAACCGTTGATATGCTGGGACTTGGTTGGAAGTGGGAAGGGATGGATTGCGGTGAAATCGGCCGAATAATGGAGAATAGCATCTATACATGGCCATAGTCACATAGTGATCCATAATTGTGATTTTGCAAAGTTATGGGAGCACAAAAAGCCATGATTGACATATGGGAGTACACTGGGACCTCTCCCTTCTGATTCAGGCTGACTGATGAATGAACCTCTCGACTGAAATCACACATGGTGTTGTCCAGTGACGCTCATTGCTTTGCCTATGTATTACGTGTGGACATCAAACTTTAAGTAAGGGGCTTAGAACCAGGGCAACTAAACGCATAACAACTGTAAAACATGGCCAACTGCCATCCCACTGCATTAACCTTTGCACTTCTGATCCGATGTTGACCCGGTAACCCCCTACATAGATCATCCTGTTACATCCGCACAATGTGTGATGGTTAAATCCCCTTTAATGATGGTCAAACAAATCCCATATGTTTGAGACAATGGATTCATATCCACGATTTATTGGTTAAATCCGCCATGACTCTTGGTTTAAATCATCAATAAACCAGTTACCCGCTGGCTTTAAAGGAGTTTTTCATGTAAAATGGCCATTTGGCTCCACAATTTAGCTATTAAAAGCGGCGCCTTTCCTATGCCTTTAGCGAAATCAAGGTGTCCCAAGATGTCCCAAGGGCCGGCCTCAAATGCTCCTCCAAGGTCCATGTGCCCAGGGGCAGGAAGCCAGCACCACGGTAGCGGCCCTCCAGGGTGTGGCGGTACAGGAAGGTGCTGGCCTCAGGACATGGTGTCGCGGAGATGCGCCCTATTTTCAAAACCATATATACGCACATATGTTTTTATCCTGTGTATATGTACATGTTATATTGTTATTATTAGTTATATGCGTACAATACCCCTCCGATAACAAACTTTTGGCTTAGAATTCTGGTGCGTGTGTGTGTGTGTATGGGGACATATTTGTGTATATCTGTGTGTTGGAGTGTTTGTGTTTGTGTGTGAATGATGCACATATGCAGCATATTATAACATACGAGTCTGTTCGTCGACGGCCTCCACCCCTGAAATTTGAGTCACGCGCGGAAATATCAGAAAGCGGCCAAGGTGAATCATATAACATCTTTGGTATATGCGCAACCACCAGCCAGATAACTGCAACACACCAAAAAATCCAGAAACAACCACCACTTGTGGGTTTGAACATGTTTTGAGACCTCATGAGCCCTGGCAAACCCAACAATAAACCCCAACACTACCATTTTTATGGATACAATAAACAATTATCCCAAATGGTAGGCTCATTGGGTTTACAACATTTCTATCCTGCCAAAATCTGCCAAGCAACTAAGAGAAAACCCATCTCTGGCCCTTCCCTGGGCCTCAGAAACTGCACCCAGCGGCTTTGATCCCGTTGGAGCCCGACGAGGCGATCTAACTGGGCGCGCCAGCAGAGGCAGTAGTTGGCATAGCTCTGGTCACCCATGGCACGGCCCAGGGTGAGGTGGTGAAGACACCTCGCTCGGCGAGCTCGGCTGAGCTAATTATCCTACTATCCAAGGCCCAGAAACTGCTAAAAAAACCACGGGCTTCATGAAGGCTGAACATGGCTACTATGTTGAATGGTCATCCACACGTGATCCTTTTGAAGTTGGTAAAATACATGGTAAATGAATCTGGTGTACGTACCGTGTATTCTTGCAAGCGTGTTTCTTGTCCATGCCAAGTCAAACTTGCGTTTTAGATGCGCATGCGTGTTGGTAAAACTTTCCCTTTTGATTAGTTCATGATGGCTACCATGGTATGCCTGCGTCCTGGGTGCCCCCTCCAATGCCAAGAACAAGGGCTTATCGAGATCTTATCGTTGGAAAGCTTGCTGTACAAGTACCCGTCGGTCCGCCAGTCCTATGTTGTTGTCAACACATTTAGGCCTCAACATATGCGGGAACCTACCAACCATAGCTTTAGCCAACAATCACAGTGCACATCGCTACGGATACAATACAATGACCACATCCAGTTGCAAACAACAAGAAACGACAGAAGCCAAATACATCAACAACCAATCTTGTCAACCAGGATATTTGTTCAACCATGATTGGCCAATAATTATCCGGTGATTTGGGTCCAGGATCATCGGTAGTTGCTGGGGAAGTTTGCTCGTTTGCTATCTCGGCCTGTGGGTACAAAATCCCTCAAAGGCACGAAAGCCAACATGGAAAATAACCAGTGGTGAAAACACCAGGCATATTCATATGGTTGTATTGTCTTGTATCCTTGATTAGGGTTGGAAGAGGAAAAAGCGTTGTTGGGGCGTCACATGGCCAATCCAAATTACCCCGTCGAAAAATATGATTAAGTTTGTTTGATTTTCATCGTTAGTAAATGCCTATGCCCCACGTCTTGCAAAAGAGAACAGCAACTGCCACTGCATTCGGCTACCCAGTTCTCACCAGTTGGTTTCCCATACTGTGGATGGACAAGCCATCCTGCACATACTGTGGTACCTATTGGGATTCCTCTAAATCAAGAGATGTTTCATGGGATAACTAGACGACGGATGGCCCGAGAGCGTAGAGCACCATGGTCTTCTCTTGTTAGTATGGAGACACCATATTACAAACAATATATTAAAGATGTGTTATAGGCAGTCGAGAAGAGGAGTATCAAGACAATATAGCACAAGTACAAGACAATAGTTTGCATCGCAAACACTTTTACACACAGAAGCTTTTACACGCAAAAGCTTTTACACGCAAAAGCTTTTACACACAGAAGCTTTTACACACAGAAGCTTTTACACACAAAAGCTTTTACATATAGGCACTTTCACACACAGACCCTTTTACACACAGACGCTTGTACACACGGACGGTTTTACACAAAGACACTTTTACGCACAGACGCGTTTACACAGACGCTTTTACACACAAAGCTTTTAACCACAGAAGCTTTTACAGACAGAAGCTTTTACACACAGATGCTTTTACACAGACGTTTTGACACACAGACACTTTTACACACAGACGCTTTTACACACAGACACTTTTAACAAAGAACCTTTTACACACAGGAGCTTTTACACACAGAAGCGTTTACACGCAAACGCTTTTACACACAAGAGCTTTTACACACAGAAGCTTTTACACATAGACTCATTTACACACAGACACTTTTACACACAAACACTTTTACACACAAACACTTTTACACACAGACGGTTTTACACACAAACACTTTTACGCAGAAACACTTTTACATACAGACGCTTTTACACACAGACGGTTTTACTCACAAGCGGTTTTACACACAATTACTTTTACACACAGACGCTTTTACACACAGGCCGGCCCATGTTCACGCAGTCACAGTGAAGTCATCGTTGTCGTGGCCACCTCAGCAATTCGACGGAGGGGTGAAGTTCGTACCATGTATTTGGTGGACATGCATTCACTATAGTACAGGCTATAGAAGTATTGCTCAGACAGCTCTGGTTGCAATACAAGTAGCAAAGTTGAAAATCAAATAGCTAAGCTGCTCACAAAGGTGTTGAGCCAGGCAAAGAACCGACCTGGCCCCCCGCCAGGGTGGGGGAACCATCCTATCCCCTCAAAGTATTATAGGAGCAGGCCATAATTATATACGTATTATCAAAGTCTGAAGCTAAGGCCTAAGGCTATTAATCGAAATATTGTAAGGTAAAAATCTACGATGACGACTCGATGATATGCACCTCATCACAATACGTGACCAAGTGTGTAATGTCATGGCGAGCCTAACTAAAACTTGTTTGTCAGTCGCATGCCATTCAGCATGGTCGGGTCCACTGGCACTGTCCTGCAAAACGACAAGTCCGCGCCGTGCAAGCGCGCTCAGCCACAGGTTGGGCCGACAGTTCGTGCAAGCGCGCCGTGCAAGCGAGAAGTAAGTCTGGATCGCCTCCTCGAAGTCGCTCAGCTGGAAGTAGTGGTTCGTATGTTGTCGGATCGCATCCAGGAATTGGTCATTCAGCCATGCGAAAGTTCGGAAGCTGGCACTGTGTCCTCACCGCATTGATGAGGAACTCTCCCTGGTCAAGGCTCGCCAATGGATCTCTTAGTCCAAGGCCCAAAGCTCCTAGACTCCTTGCTCACCCTTTTCTTCAAACATCTGTGATGACTTTGGTGATCGCCGTGATGTTCTTCTCCAGGAAATAGCTAGTTACTTGCTTCTTCAAAATGACCTCGTCAACCATCAATTTGAAACCACTCGATCAACACCAAAAAAGGTCAATGGACCATCTCAAAGGGGATCACTTTGAAGAAGCAACAGAAAATAGTTTTTGCTTTTCTTTACTTAGAAAAGTCCGTCCGTCCAGCGAGAGGCCTATCTGCCCACAACAAGAGATCTGGGGGGAACCAGGGTTACTGGCACTGCAGGCCAAAGGTTATCATAGATTCAATTGGGAGGAAGTGACAATAGATGTACCATGGCTGATGGCAAGGCCATGGTACACCATCACTTCCATTTAAAGTCATAAGACCTGGTTATGCTACTGTATTTACACACACACACTCGCTTTTACACGCGCACGCTTTTACACACAGACACTTTTACACACAGACGCTTGTACACGCAGACGCTTTTACACGCAGACAGAATCTTTTACACACTGACGGCTTTACACACAGACGCTTTTACACACAGAGGCTTTTACACAGACGCTTTTACACACAAAAGCTTTTACACACAGAAGCTTTTACACACAGAAGCTTTTACACACAGACGCTTTTACACACAGACGCTTTTACACACAGGCACTTTTACACACAGACACTTTTACACACAGGTGCTTTTGCACACAGATAGTTTTACACACAGACGCTTTTACACACAGAAGCTTTTACACAGACGCTTTTACACACAAAAGCTTTTACACACGGACGCTTTTACACACAGAAGCTTTTACACACAGACACTTTTACACACAGACTCTTTTACACACAGACACTTTTACACACAGACACTTTTACACACAGACACTTTTACACACAGGTGCTTTTACACGCAGGCAGTTTTACACACAGAAGCTTTTACACACAGAGGCTTTTACACACAGAAGATTGTGCACACAGAAGCTTTTGCACAGACGCATTTTACACAAACGCTTTTACACACAGACGCTTTTACACACAGACACCTTTACACACAGAAACTTTTACACACAGACGCTTTGACACACAGACACTTTGACACAGAGCACACAAAAGCTTTTAAGCAGACGCTTTTACACGAACGCTTTTACACAGATGCTTTTTACACACAGAAGCTTTCACACACAGCACACAGAAGCTTTGTACACAAAGAAAAAATGCAATTTTACCTCAGTTTTTGGCGATCGACCATCACTTCGGGAACCCGGCAATCGCAATTTTACCTCAGTTTTTGGCGATCGAACCTCATTTCGTGCGAAAGGGTTGCGCGGGACACCTTGAAATCGCAATTTTTCCCTGGTTACCTCAGTTTTTGGCGATCGAACCTCATTTCGTGCGAAAGGGTTGCGCGGGACACCTTGAAATCGCAATTTTTCCCTGGTTACCTCAGTTTTTGGCGATCGAACCGCATTTCGTGCGAAAGGGTTGTGTTTCGTGCCGTCTCGTTGGCACTGCCCCTGACCCCGCCTTCAGAAGAGAAATAGAAAAGAAGGAGAGGGCAAGAGGGCAAGAGGGCAAGAGGGCAAGAGGGCAAGAGGGCAAGAGGGCAAGAGGGCAAGAGGGCAAGAGGGCAAGAGGAGAAGAGGAGAAGAGGAGAAGAGGAGAAGAGGAGAAGAGGAGAAGATGTGAGATGAGAAGATGTGAAGATGAGAAGGTGTGAGAGGATGTGAGAAGATGTGAGAAAATGTGAGAAGATTTGAGAAGATGTGAGAAGATGTGAGAAGATGTGAGAAGATGTGAGAAGATGTGAGAAGATGAGAAGATGTGAAGATGAGAAGATGTGAAGATGAGAAGACGTGAGAAGATGTGAAGATGAGAAGATGTGAAGATGAGAAGATGTGATAAGATGTGAGAAGATGTGAAGATGAGAAGATGAGGAGAAGATGAGAAGATGAGGAGAAGATGTGAGGATGAGAAGATGTGAAGATGAGAAGATGTGAAGATGAGAAGATGAGGAGAAGATGTGGGGAATGAGAAGATGTGAAGATGAGAAGATGTGAAGATGAGAAGGTGTGAAGATGAGAAGGTGTTTTACAGACCCCCACTATTGGAAGAACCCTGCGCTCAGACGCTCTCGGGAAAAACCATCATACAAGCTGGTGTCCCAGTTCGTTAGGAGATTGGTGAACATAACATAACTCCAATTTCACTTGGGTCTTTTGGGGGTATAAATGCACTAGTTAACGCGGGAATTGTTACCATCTCCGGCACCCAGCTGGTGCAGGATTTCCTACCCATCCACAGTATCCTGTAGCTTGACCCAGGTGCTGGGAGCGATAGCTCCGGGAGGTCTCACCATAAATTTCCTCAAGGGTCGTTTTAGGAAGGCGGTTTCCGATGGGGTCAGCCTACTTGGGTATGCCCCGAAGATGGTAGATTTCCCACGTTGCCAGTTTAAAAAGTTAATTAAAAAGTGTATGTGTATATAATATGCATATATATATATATAGGTATGTAAATATGCAAATAACGATACATAACAAATGTTATAGATGTGAACTTGTACCCGGTCAGCATTGTGAAGTATCCACCCACATTTAGATGGAAGCTGGTTCATACTTGACTACGAGCGCGCGGGTTTACTCAAGACAATCGACGCATCTCACCACAACCGCATGGCATTGCGATGGGCAAAGCAATTGACAACTCACACGCACATATATACATCCCAGTGAAAATCACTGTGCTGAGCTCTTTATTCTTTAACATGATAAAGGGTCCTTGTCCTTCAACAGGAACTAAATATGTATGCACATTCATGCTAGAAGGGTTTGGGCCTCCAGAAAGGACCTGTTCAAAACAACACACATACATGCTACTGGAAGGCACAAGGGTTTTCGACGTGTCTCAGCTTCATGGTTTGTTTCGTTGTCAAAATCAGTGTGCCATGGAATTGTGGCTGCCCATCTTCATCTTAAAGAGGCAATGTTCACCCATAACCTGAAAATTTGCTTTGTGGAGGCTTCCGCGCATGGCACACCGATTCTGGGACGAGGTCTTTGAATCGCGATGATGACACCCAAGTACCCAATACCTATCCACCATTGACCCACCAAGCATGAGTTTGCCCAACAAAATGCGGTATAATTGCTTACCAAGCAAAATGGGGAGTTAAAGCAAGCAAATATGATGGGGTCAGAAACAACACAGGCATTTGCCGTAATCCCCACGAACTGGATGGGAGAAGGCTGAAAATGACTGTGTAGTCCCCTTGTGCTCTATTTGAGTTCAAATGTTGACAACAGCCATACGTGCTTTGTTTGGGGAGTTCATCAACTACAATGGAGATGAAACCAGAAAACATGGAAGTTTCATGAGCAAAATCCGCAATTTATCCGAACAACCAACAAGAAACATTTAAATCATCTAGCAATGCACAAAAAAACTCATGGCGCGCCATGCCATCAGTTTACATGGAATTTTCTGGACATTCCCAGCTACCAGCGCTACCGCCACCTTCACCGCCGAGACGCCGCTTCAAGACCCAATAGCTCTAGGAGTGACTCGGCGAAGGCACTCTGGTAGCCTTCAAGGCCGATTGTCCAACGGTGACCCGAGTGATTTGGATGCCCCCCCACAAAAGGCTGTGTCGGTCTGTGTCGCCATCTTCATGCAGAAAATGATGATCATATAACCAATCTATTTAGGGTAATTACCCTACTTTCACAAAAACCCACTGGCGAATAGGAACACTGGGAAACCTTGCGGTATCTTCATACCATGGGGCAATTCTTAACTATGGACCCTCACTCCAAGGTTCACCCAAGTCATAATGTGTCATCAGGCTCTTTCTTGGCATGGCCACAAAAGATCAACCTGGAGGTAAATCATCGGTTTAACTACCAAAGGCGTTGTCATTTGGTCTTTGATGTCTTGGCAAATCACATCATCAGACTTGTAACAATTTATCGTAAAGTTTTTGGGTGGCCGCCCTTCCCAACCATCACTCATGTTGACGTCGTTGTAGGGTCAGTCTGGTTCAGCCAGACTGATTGATCATATATTCCGTTTCTGTTCAGGACTCAGGGCACAGAAACCCTGATAGGAATGAACCTGCCACACCAAACCACAGCTTACCTTCCACATTCAAATTTAGCAATGGAACATACTTGCTTCATATCAGAAAACCATACATGAACATATATAAAAATCAGATACATGGAGCTTCGTGTGTGGATTTTGCATTGCCAGATTACTGTACCAAAGGGTAGCCATCAAGTCGCCATAAGGTATCGCCGGCCAGGACCGTTTCTCCCTTGCCAGCTCCACGAAGAAGCGGCCCACAGAGCTGTTGCCTCAGCGGCATCCCACTTAGTAAATGGATGCAAATGGGCTATATAGATATCCATGGCTATAACTGGGGAAAGTAGGGGCTATGTCGACAATAGTTTTTAAATCGCTTTTGCTGATACCTGCCGAAAGAGGCCTATATGTATATATACATCTATCTCTCTCTCTCTCTCTCTGTCTCTCTTTCTCTGTGCGTGATACGAATAGAAATTAAACTAAACCATATACAAATATGAAAATAATATATATATATATATATGTATTTATCTATTCATTTATTCTTTTTAATTTACTCATTCATTTATATATTCATTTGTTTATTTATAATTATGTTACATATACATTTCTCCTCATCCAGCAGTCTACTCCGCACTACAGCTCTTTTTCCATCCTAAGCTGCAAGTAGGGTCAGAAACCTGGCTCGCAGGATTTGCTTTGGGTAGGTGGTCACTGCAGCCTGACCAGCTGTGACACGCCACTCTGGCTGGGATCTGTCAGACACACTGACATTCATCCGAACTCGGACATACTTCCGGGCGTATGGACACTCCAAGGCCTCCCCACACACCACATAGCGGCATTCTATTCAATAGTGGGGGGTCCCAGAGGCAGCTGGCCAGATCGCTAACTAGCACAACCCCAGCTCACGCGGAGCCTTCAAGAACGGGGACGACAACACGGCCGACCAGAGAAGTCAAAAAGTATGTTATTTGGATCAAGGCGCTTGAGCCCAAACATCATGGTGAATGAGAAATGATCACTGCGAACCATAGCCTTCCAAAACCTGATGCACATATATATATATAGTTCAATTATACTATCTTGTAAGAGGTATGGGTTGTGTACAGCATGCTTGCAAGTCAAGCATACCCTGAGTGTTGGATGGCAGGATGTGGCATATCAATGTAGCCTTGTTGGAAGGTGAACTTCACCTTCATCCCTGACGTGTTCTTAGAATGTATTCACCATCTCTGCAGCACCCCTGAAAAGAATCATTGTGAAGAAAACGCCATTTCGCCTCAGAGCAACAAGTCAAGACATGAGAAGATAAGCTAAGCAAATGAAGGGCTGCGTACGATCAGGAATCCGGCATTGGCACAGTGGTGGTGGTAGTCCTGGTCGCATTGTGGAACTGAGAGCACCGTGCATCAGCTTTCAGTTTTCCTTTTTGACTGGGAAACGATGGCAACATATGGCAACTATAGAGTGCCCAACTTGACAAATTTATAGTTTCCCAAGCTCTGACTGCAACAATTTCCGTGAATTTTCGGGTTGTGCCTCCCTCTCTGAAGACACTGAGTTCCAAACCTTGCATTGCAAGAAATCCCTTTTCCATATTAATGATTTTTCTGGACCTATCCTCCCTCAAATAAACCAAACAGGGGGGTGGACGATTGATTCCGACTAACAAACTGGCTATGTCCAGGGTCTATTGGATGGCAAAAGCGGGTAAAAAGCCAGAGCTCAGCGTTTAAGTAGCCAGTCCTCATGTGGAGAATCCCTGATGACCACGTGTGGCAGTCCGCCATCTCTGGTCCGTCCAATGAGGTGCACGAAGGAGAAGCTATCAAAGCAGCAGGGGGAAATTGTGAGGTCAAAGTCAATCCACACCTGCCGAAAACCCAATGTTTCAACAGGGTGGCTAAAGGGGATGATCTGCAGGAAACCATAGTTTTTACCAGTAGTACCGCGCAAGGCGGTGGCGGCAGTTTCAAAAATAGGAAACCTATAGGAGAGATTTGTTGTTGTGAATCAGGGATGGCAGAGCGAATCCACTGATGGACCGAAAGGTGCTTGAGGTCTCCTCTCTTTCTCTCTCTCTCTTTCTCTGACTATCTACCCACCTACCGACCTATCTTTTTTATTTATCTATCTATCTAACTAACTATCTATCTGTCTATCTATCTATCTATCTGTCTGTCTGTCTGTCTATCTGTCGACCTGTCTATCTGTGGTGCAGTGTCATTCAGTGTAATGTAGTGTAGTGTAATGTAGTGTAGTGTAGTGGAGTGTAGTGGAATGTAGTGTAGTGTAGTGTAATGTAGTGTAGTGTAATTTAGTGTAGTGTAGTTGTGTATTCGTAGTTGTAGTTGTAGTGTAGTGGAGTGTAG